AGCGAATTAAGCTCGCTTCCTATCGTTACTAAGTTATAAAAGAAAATTTCTATAAACTTTATTATCGACTTATTAGTAAGTAAGTATAAGAGTATTATCTATAATACTATCTTAATTATAATAAATCGATTTATAAAAATAATAAAATATATTTCTATATCTATTATAATCGATATTACTTAGCTAGCGAAAGTATTTTATTTTAAAATAATATATCGCTATAGTATACTAAACGATATTATTAATAATAGAGACTCTATATTTATCAATAGCTTCTAATTCGTTATTTACTTTTATTTTAAAATTAAGCGATATCTAAATATCGTCTTTTATTTATAAATTAACGAGTAAATTAAGTAATAAAATTAGATACTAGAATACTTTTTATATATATTCGCTAATAATAAGTAAAACGTTTAGATAAAATAACTGCTAATAATAGAGTTCGCTTATATAAATAATTAATATTTCTTTATTAAAACGATATCGTTCTTTCTAATATATAAATATTATTCTAAAATTTATTAGAAGATCGAGAATAACTTTATTAAGGGGGAGATACTCGCTATAAATAATAGAGTAAAGAAGTTATAAGTATTAAGAAATAAGATAATAGAGTGTCTTCGTAGCGCGATTATAGCTTAGTTTAAATATTATAATAAAATATATTAGTCTTAAAGCTATAAGATAAATAATTTAATAATATTAATAACTAAGAATCTAAAGTAGAAATATCTAAGTAAGAAGTTATTTTATAAATTTATAGAACTATTTTAAATTATAGATAAGATAAAGACGTAAGTATATTATCTACTTCTACTCTCGATATATAAAATTTATAATATCTTTTATATATCGTTATTTAAGTCTTATTATCTTCGCGATTATAATAATATAGCGAAAGCCTTTATATAAACTCTTAATCTTATTAATAATAATAAGCTTTAGAAGATCGAAGAAATTATTAATAAGATTAAGTATAAGAAAAATATTTAATATAAAGTTAAATAGACTAATTAGAGCGAAGAGTATAATTAATAATTATTAGATAACGAATTTATTAATATTAGTAAGCTAATTTAAGTCTATAAGTAGATAAGTAATAAGCGAAAGTATTAAGTAATAAATAATAAGTCTCTTATTATTAAAGAGCTTAATTAATTATATAAATTAACGATAAGTAAGCGAAGACGATAAAATAAGATATAATTATCGACTAGATTAGATATATTTCTAGATAATACTTATATTATATATATACTTCTCTATACTTACTACTATTAAAATATAGATTAATAAAATAATTATATTATTTAGCTATCTATTAAACTCTACTATAATAAGAGTTTATTATATTAAAATATATATTATTAATATAAATATATTTTTATCTAGAGTAGTTATTAAAGAATTATCTAAGAATCTCACATTAGCGTTATTATTAAAAAAAGATCGCTATTTAAGTATTCTCCGCTATCTTAATATTAGATCTCGAATTAAATTTATTAATTTAATTCTTTAACGAGAAGATAATTAAAGTATAATCTTTATATTAATATTTATTAACGTCCGCTATATATCGATAAAGACTCTCGAGCTTCTTCTCTAATAACTTATTTATTCCCTCTAATTTCTCTATATACTTATATATCGTTATAAGCTAATCTTAGAGATCTATAATTATAATAGAGATAACTAAAATTATCGCTATCGTATATTTCTATAACTTATATTACTAAGTAATCTCTTTATTAAACTTAGTCTATCGATAAGATAGTTTTTAAAATTATTTAATACGGCGATAGCGTTATATTAATTTCCTTATCTATATCTAAAAATATAAAGGAATTTTAATATAGCGATTAATATCGCGTCTTTCGATCTTATAGTTATCGTAGAGAAGAGATTTATCTTAAATATATAAATTATTATCTCGATAAAAGTAAGTTCTATATAGTAAACTAGATACTAGAATTTATTAATAGATATATATATAAAGCGATAATAATAGAAATAGTTAAGGGTTAGTAATCGCGCCTATAAAGCGACTATATACTTACTATTAAAGTTATTATTATTATTAAAAAAGAATACTATAAAATTATTAGTCTACGTATTAATACGATCGATAATAATAAGATACTTATAATAAAGAGAAGTAAACTACTAATATAATAAGATATACTATATTTATATTAATATTAATATTAACGTTATAGCGTTAAAGTAAATATTTATAAGAAAGACGTTAGAAGTTATAAAGAATAAAAATAAATAATTTAAAAGAAGTTTTTATATTCTTTATCGTAGCGCTATTACTAGCGAATAGTACTTAATAATATAGATAATAGCGACGCGATAATATTTCGCTATTATCTATAAGGCCGCGTCGCCTAGCTATTATTATTATTTCTATTATTATTATTAATTAATAATCGAGAATATTATCGTAGACGCGTCGCTTTACTAATTACTCCCTTCGAATCTCTATAATAAAGATTATTATTACGTTACTTCGCTATAGACGCAATACGCTATAAAAATAATATTATCTATAAAGAAACTCTTCTCTCTCCTTTTATTTATTAGATTTTTAAGAGTTTATTATAAGTTTCTAAATCTAATATTATTCGCTATAGAGGCTATTAACTAGCGCTACGAGAACGTTAATATTAAATATATTAACTTACTATAGATTATTAGTAATTAATATCGTAGAAGCGATATTATTCTCGAAGATAGTATTAATATTATTATATAATATATTAGTAACGCGCCTATAACGCGTAAGAGTTAGTTCTATCGCGTTATTAAAATAATATTATAATCTTAATAAATTAACTCTTTTCCCTTATTTTTCTATTAGAGTTTAAATTTTTTTTTAATAAATATTCTATTTTTACTTAGGCGTCTAAGAATTAGAGTCTAGAAAAAAAGATAATTATTAGATCTAATACGTTATAGGCCTTAACGCTACTTACGCTAAGGCGCCGATATCGCGTATTCTATATTAAGATTCCTTTTAGAGTTTAATTTTAATAATATATTCTATATACTTAGAAGCTTAACGGATATAGATCTACTTCGTATATCTCGAAGTTTTAATATTTCTTAGAGATTAGTTCTACTATCAAATATACTATTAAACTCTATAACGATACTATATCTTTTATAGTCTATATCTACTAGCTAATTATTAGTAAACTACGCTCTTATAAAATACTAGAAAATACGAAATTTTTAAATTCGATAAGTTCGATCTAATACTTAAATATTTACTTCTTATTAAAATTCTATAATAATTCTATACGATAAGAATAAAAAAATCTAATTCTTTCTTGCTATTAAGGCTTCTATATCGAAGAATTTAATTTATTATTTTTTAGATCTTATCGATCTATTACTTCGTGAAAATCGTATCTCTATTATCTCTTCTTCTACTATCTTATCTCTTCTATCTCTTTTATCTTACTATTATTACTATAATAAAGTCTTCGAAATATCGAATACTACTTAGATATATATATCGCTAGATTAAAATAGACTATATCTAAGTTTAAGATAGAGATATCTACTATATTAAATCTATAAACGACGACTATAATATCGTAGTATTAATTATTATAGTAGATTAAAATAATAGAGTATTTATATAAGTAATAATAATAGTTATATACGCTATAATAGTAGTAGTTATCTAAGTCGAATTTATCGAATTTAAAAATTTCGTATTTTCTAATATTTCGCGTTTTCTCTTAGCGTAATATAGTAGTAATAATAGAAAGTATATAGATTTAGTAATAGAGTTATTAGCTATTATATAGCTAATAGAGAATAAAGTACTACTATCTATAACTAGCTATATAAAAGAAATAATAATAAAATATATATAAAAGAATATAGAAGAGATATATATATAGAATATAAAGAAATTAGATATATTAATACTCTCTCTATCTAGTAACATTTAAATACCTCTATTTTAAGATCGAAATTATATATTATTCTAGTTTATTAGTCTAGATCTTTATCTACTAACTCTATTATCTTAATAAAGTTATTAAATTTTATAATAGTTAGTACTTTAGTAAGATCGTTAATCTTTATATTCTTCGTAGATATATATTCGTATCTTAGCGTCTAATTAACTATTAATTCGCGTATAAAATAATAGCTAACGTTAATATAACGTAATCTCTTATAGTTTATAAAGTTCTTTATTAGATCTATAACTCTCTTATTATTATATTATATTATAGACGATTTATTTAGCTATTATTTAAGCTCTAATAGAATATAGCGTATTTATATTATATTCTAAGTAGTATTAGAAGTAGCTATATATTCGATTTTATATATAAATTATATTATAGTCTTCTACTTAATAGATCTTTAATTAATTAATTTATCGTTTAATATTATAATTATTTCAGCTATTAATTATATTATAGATATCTTATTAGCTTAATTAGCGTCTAAGTAGTCGAATAATTATAATATTACTATTTTTATAGTCTCGAAGACTATTTTACGTATTCTAGTCCTAGCTAAATATCGTAATATTCTTTTATATACTTGCTAGTATTTATAATTTGAATTAAAAGAGAATATAGGCGACTTTACTCAATTAAGTTAGGTGGTCCAATATTAAAAACCGGCTTGAGTAAGTAATGAGGTATTTCGGTCCGGTCCGAACTTAGCCAATTTCTTACTTTGTGGGAGGCTGGCCTCGGCTGGCTGGCTACCTCAGCATTGAGGTAGGAGATGTCGCAGCCGCTTGCTACTCTTATTAGACCACTCCTCCTTCCCTTCAATTCGCTTCACATTCACTATGGGACGACGAGCAATCAACCAATTACAGTACAAACACACTCTTTTCTTTCATTCACCGCCTCTTCACCATCGGACCAACGAACCTTATCAGCCAGCCACCTCTACACCTCCTGCAATTGTCTATGTCGCAATGAGATAAAATCGCTTTCTCGTCACAACTTAAGGCAATGGCACATGCTGGGAGTATAGCTCCTCGTCGCAAAGCTACAACGTATGGCAAGCATTCGCGCAGGCCAATTTCGAATCTGAGCTCAGCTACGGAGGTTGAGTTTGCTCAAAACGTTGGTGCTAGCACATTGGATCCCACAGACACAATTCGGCATTGGCAGGGCGATGGCAGAAACGCATCATCAGATTTGCTACATCGCCGGAGCGGAAGCGAGATTCCATCTGAGAGTTTGTCTCGCCAAGCATTATCATCTAAACCAAAGCCTAGAGATCAACATCGCTCTTCCTCCGGTCGTAGCGACCCTGTTAAAGACGTTTCTTTGTATGACGTACCAGTATCAGATGACGGCCGCAAACACAGCGTCAATATAGCGCGTAAAAGGAGAAAAATCATGCCAAGCGGAGTTGTTGCAGAAAAACAATCGGTGGTATACGACGACGACAGCCTCCAAAGACACATTGCTGCTGAGGCTCGGCGAGATGAAGGACAGATTCTGCCTTCGCCCAGCAACACTTGGGCCGTGCAAGAATCTAAGTCTAGGCGTGGCGCTGCGAAGAGTCAAGCGGGAGCACGAGGTAGTCCCAACAAAGGCGCGAGTGAGACTTCGAGATCTTTCAAAAACTCTACACTGGACCCTGAGCGCATTGGAATTGATGCTACAGCCGTGGACCGGACCAAAGGCCGCTTAGTTGCTCGAAAGCAGTCCAAGGGACTTGACAGGGCCAATGTCATCTCTCACAGAGTGCAGAAGACCAATACAGACCCCACTAAGACTACTGCGCGGCCAACGACACCGGATACGGTGTTGGCTAAATTCGGTCTACAAGAAGCAACCAACGTTCCTAGAAGCCCTTATACCTCGAGCAAATCTGTCTGCCAACCAACGACGCCTCCGAGGCCTACCAGTGCCGCAGACGGGGCTACTACCCCGCGTCAACGAGAGCTGTGGAACAGACTGCTCGTAGACGATGCACAGACTAGGAGTCCCTCTAGTCTCAACCTCCCTAGTCTCATACTCACAGAGAAAAATCCCGAAGGCTCGCGTGGACATGCAGAAGGACGCAAAGTTTCCTTGGGACTCCGTCAACAGTCTGCGCTCAAGGCTCGGCCTAGAAAGATCGTCGACACTCTGCATCGATCAGACCATGATCAGGACAACTTCTATAACGAGTTTGATGAGATGCGTGGGAGTAGTAGCAGTGTCAATAAGTCCGAGTCCAATTATTCCGAGTCCGCCGCAGATGGCGCCATCACGGTGCAAACATCCCCAAGCGCAGAAGGCCGGGGCCTGGTCAGCCAATTCCAAGATCGTTCTTCCAATTCTCCTCAGGCCATACCTTCACTCTATGGAGGAGGCCTTAAGATTACATATGCTCGCCAAAGGTCTTATCTAACAGACAATGACTTGGCAGAGGCTGCAATGATCGGCTTGCCAGTTCCGCCGCAACCTAACGACAGAACACGGTACGGACGAAGAGGGCTCGGAGACCGGGCTCCCAAATTGCAGTCCATGCAAAGCCTTGACGAGGATTTCGGGGACCTTGTAGACTCGCAAGGTGGGACTATGAGGAGTATCCATGAACTACGTGAGGCTGGTGGCAACGTTCGCCTGGTCAGCGAGCTGGAAGCTATCTTGGATGACATTGGCGACCACCAACCTGGCTATACCTCTGTCAGGCGTAGCAGATTGATTGACTTGGTCACTAAGCTTGAAGAGCCTGCCAATTGCCGCCTGTTCGTTGATCAAGGATTGGAAAGTCGCCTAATGGCTGACGTTGGCTTGAGCAATGACTTGATAACTAACGGCCTCCTGGTTGCAGCATTTCTCCAGCTCATGACCTGTTCGTCATCGACTTTATTGTTAACGCAGGTCAGTAAAGTTCGGGTAGTGAGATTTTTTGTTGAGCTCCTGGGATCTGACCAGGATATTCTTTCCTATGCCGGACTGCGTGGAAACAACGTGTCCAAGGTGGTCCAGGCTGATCTACAGAACCTTTGCTCTGCCTTGCTGAAATCCACAGTCTGGAGGGCGGGTAAACCGTCAGTGCTCTCATGCCACGTGCTGTCGCTCCAGTGTCTTGAATATCTTGTGCGTCAAACAAGAGAAGCGGGATCTTTGTCTGAGGTACTTTCAGCACATGCGATCAGGCGCGTAGTCGCTACATCGGTGCCACCTTTTTCGACGCTGCCACCACAACCAGGTAAAATCTCAGTCATCTGCCTCGAGCTTGCAGTTTCCATACTTGAATCATGCACCATCAGTAACGCGGCTGAATGTCAGGCGTCCTTGTGGGCAGGCGAAACGCTCGAGCGCGTTATCGGTCTTCTACCGCTACTGGCTCTGTGGAAAGGAGAAGAGTGCGGAACGTCGCGAACACTGACGCTTCGGCTATACCTCAATCTCACCAACAATAGCCCTGGTCTATGCGAGGACTTCTCAAACCCTGAGGTGATTAGCGTGATGTTTGGAATTGTAATTTCACACTTCGAAAAGCTGGCAGACAGCACGCTTGAAATCGACAAAGCACTTCTGTTGGACGACTTGATACTTTCTCTAGGCTCTTTGATCAACCTCGCCGATTTATCTAAAATAGCACGGCAGTTGGTGATGGATCTACGCCATGGGAGCCAAAGCTACTTGGACATCCTATTACAGCTCTTCATGAATAAGTCCAAAAACGCGGCCGAAGTAAGAATCCCTTCCGCTACAACATAATTAGTGGCCCTGACTCGAATAGGTTTCCTCTTTGGAAGAGACTAGCTCCAATGTTGCTTTCGGGTGGGTGTCAGTGCTACTCGGCTGGCTGTGCCTCGACCCAGCAATCAAAGCGCGAATAGACAGCCGCCTTCCGGGAAATAGCCTGAAGCAGCTGCTGGACGCAATAGATGAATTTCTGCAGTATCACAGAAGAATTGACCAAGTAATAATTCGAGCTGATGGTGAAGGTGACGCAAGGGCTAGCTTTGTTGGCCGCTTGCAGAGCCATGTGGACGACCTGAAAAAAATCGAAGGCATTTCTGGGACTTTGTAAGAGGTTGCAGGCAAATGAACTGCATAGGGATTGCATGACGTACAGTTGTGTAGGGACGAGGACATGACGGTTGTACATATAGGTGCAGATTCATGGATAAAGTAGCAATATGGCGAGTCAGCGAGCTTATTTTAGCACTGTCCGGACCAAACAGTACTGGCGCTATAAGCACCTCCACATTATAGACTGTGTACTCTGTAGGTTGTTCTTGCTTTGTGTGGTGAAGCTCCAGCAGGGCCCGTGCTCCTTCCCAACCACGCGACATGAGAGACGCCATGCGCATTTAAATCACGCAGTCTAGGAACCTACTTTGATTAGCCTTTGATTCCAGTGATCCGATTCCTTCACTCCCAAGTCGGAGAGCCAGCGATGAAGCTTGTGTAAATCATCGTTTTTCCCCTCGCCTACGAAAAGTGCTGTGAATGATATCCTGGACTGTCTGGGAGCAGCAACAAAGTTAGGTCTACGATTAGGTTTGGATTGCATTCTTTTCAAAGTTGCACTACCACGTAATTGTTGTAGTAATTACTGTCCCTCCTTGAAAGCATATCCTTGCCTCCCAACCCCTTCCCGTCCTGGACGTTGTCTCTTCCCTCTTCCCAAGAAAAGGAAGCAGTCCTTGCCACAATGCCAACCTCTCCAAAACAGCGCAAGATGGCCGTCGTTGGCAGCCGCTCTGTTGGTAAGTCATTCCTGCAGAACGTCGGCGTCACCAGCGTGCTCAGACATTCATGGTGCTAGGCAAATCCTCGCTCACGGTGCAGTTCGTTGATGGACACTTCGTGGATAGCTACTATCCCACTATCGAAAACACATTCAGCAAGGTCATCAAGTACCGCAGTCAAGACTTTGCGACGGAGATCGTCGACACCGCTGGTCAAGTAAGCGCTCATCTTGTCATGCCAGGATTCCAAATCTCCAGATTCCCAAAATGGCCAGCTGCAGCGATCGACTATTCTAACTTCTCACGTGATACTTCTAGGATGAGTACAGCATACTCAATTCGAAACACTTCATAGGCATTCATGGCTACATGCTGGTCTACTCTGTCGCTTCAAGGCAATCATTTGAGATGATCCGAATACTAAGGGACAAAATACTCAATCACCTGGCAAGCATTCTAGCCCGAAGCCTCCACCACTCTCACATATCTGTCTGACTTGTTCATAGGGTGCAGATTGGGTTCCATTGGTCATCGTAGGAAACAAGAGCGACCTGAAAGCCGACCAACGCCATGTCCAAGCGGAGGAAGGCAAAAAATTAGCAGAAGAGTTCAGCTGCAGCTTCACGGAAGCTAGCGCACGGTTAAACACCAACGTGGGGAAAGCATTCGAGCAAATGGTTGCCGAGATGGAGAAGTCACAGAATCCGGGCGAGCCAACCGGGGGAAGCAAGTGCAGCGTTATGTAGACGGGGTCAGCGTTGTGATGGACGGAGTAAGGTTGTCGAAAATGAGGCGTTGATGGCATAGATCTGGCACGACGAGTGTATCGGAATGCGAGCTAAGAGGGATTCCATTGGATAACGTTCGTGAGGTGTACGATATAGGATAATCTTACATAGAAACATTGATTAGAGAAGCGTTAGCTATCTAGTGCGAAGACTGGCCGGGCGCAACGACTAGCTATTTCTTGCCTCCCAAGTCCTTTGCAAGAAGCAATTTTCACGACCAAGATTACAAGTCGCTCGCGATCTCGTTGTGCACATTCTGACCTTTCCCCGCAAAAACAATTGGCCTTTATGTGGCAGGGATGATATGGAACGAGCCGTCACCACCGTTAAGCTAGATTAGCGTGACTCTGGCTTCAGGGTTCAGGCAAATGTTTTTCGCGGCAAATAAGCCAATAAAAAGCCCGGACCGTACGGTGGTGGTGGTGGCGGCGGCAAGACTGCAAGGCTGCCTGCCACGCGCAGCCGGCAGCATTGGTGGCATTACTTTAAGAATCGCTGGAAAGCTTACTTACTTAAGTAGCACCCACTCCTTCCACCCTGTCCGCCTGACCTTTTTCTTTGATGACTACGATGACGATATGATCCATCGTGCTTGCCTCGGCCACATCTCACTACCTACTTTACCTACTTTACCCTTGTTGAACCTGACGAATTACTCCTTATCATTACTGATATTATCATGATCACGATACTTCAGTTCGCCTTTTGGAATTTCGCAGTCAGTAGGCATGTTTGCCAATAAGTTAACACTCGTGTCATCGTTTCAAAATCATAGAAAACAAGAGAGCTGGTTTTCTAACTGTCTGACATCCTACACAATTATTCTCGTTCTATGCTGTTCTTTCTTTATTTGCCAACATGAATACAGGAGAGCTTGTAGACTGCCCGTTTTGTGGTTTCACTGATCATGATCACTACTTCCTTCTACAGCACGTTGAGACCGTACATCCTGAAGGCGGCCGCCCTTCTCCTTTCGCTGCCAGAGAGGATCTCGCACACCGAGTTGAGCCTCCCGCCGAAGAAACGGAAGGCGCGAGCGACATTTCCTCTGAGTACATCGAATGCCAGTGTGGCGAATTCTGTCTTTTCACGGAATTCGAAAGCCACTTGGATATGCACTATGCCGAAGGCATGGGCGTCGACGAGACCTCAAAGACCCAAGCTAATGTAGCCGCGCCAGGATCCACTCTTGATCCCGGCAAAGCCCCGTCCCCTCAAATGGACTTTCCTTCACCTACTTCTCTCCATATTGTACCATCTGGCCCGAGTCGACCCATTCCAACCAGATCCGTGGTAGACCGTTCTCACTGTAGCACAGGCCGGAAGAGTGGTAACGCTGTTCGAGATTTCATTGATGCCTTATGCCATTCAACATCGCCGCCATCCAGGAAGTCTTCTCAAGCAACTTGCAATAGATTCCCTCGAAGACTAGGTGTACGTGGCAGCAGTAACCGTTTGTGTAAACATTTTTGCTAACGATTCAAACAGAGAGCTGAGTTGGGCCCTCATGCTCACGAAGAACAAATGCCAGATTGGCTACGCAAGGAGCTTGAGATTGGCGCAAAAGTTAAGGTTACCAATCAGATTACTCCGGATGGCCGACTGTTGCGAATAGAGAATGTTGCCAACGAAGTTCGAGGCGTCATCTCAGTCATCGCGCAACTCTGTGAGCAGGATCCTGCCGTCTCCAGGGCCTATCTTTGCCATTCTGACGTCATGCATGTCGTCAAGTTGGCCAAAGAAGGTGGATTCTGTGGCTATCGAAATATACAGATGATGATATCTTACATCCAGGACGCGCGATCAGAGGGTCATCGACATTTTCAAGGGAGACTTCCCTCCATCATTCAAATTCAAGACATGATTGAAAGTGCATGGGATCGAGGTTTCAATTCACTCGGTAGAATCGAGACGGGCGGTATTCGAGGAACGAGGAAATATATCGGCACACCGGAGGTGAGCTCCCACAGATGCTGTTACGACGCTTTACTAAGTTCTACCAGGCTCAAGCGCTACTACAGAATTTAGGCATTGGGTAGGCGGCTTCACTACGTCCTATCTGCTTTCGATCTCGCTGATTGGCCGTGTAGATGCTCGGCGGATGCCTTTAATGAGGGCCAAGAGCTACCAACTCATGAGCGTCTGCTAGAAGCCGTTGAGCGGTACTTTCTTGCATCTTGTCCATCACCAACTTCGTCCCATAAAGTTTTCCGAACGTCACTGCCTCCTATATATTTTCAACACCCAGGTATTTTCCAAATGAAACAAATGTCGATCTACATGTTAGCTGCTGATTCACTGTGCCTAGGCCATTCAATGACAATCGTGGGCTTCGAGAGGCGGAATAACGGATCTTGCAATTTGCTAGTCCTTGACCCAATGTTCAAGCCGTCTCCAGGCGTCAGCCGTTTCATCGGAGTCCAATTTCGCACGGCAGCACCTGAAAAACTACTTAAGGCCTATCGCAGAGGCTCATCCTATCTCCGCAAGTACTCAACATTTGAGATCTTGAAGTAGGTCACAAGGTCATTGGTACGAGCACAATATTGATCGTGAGGACAGGCTAGCATCACGTGCACCGGAAAGAGCAGGATGGCGCGGCTTATGAGTTGACAACGAATGCTTCGCACGAAGTTCTTTATTTCGAATCGCTGCAGGTTCTTTCTTTTACATTTGTGGTTTTTTCAAACGAATAACGCTACACGCATTGATTGGCAAAGCATAGCGAGGCAAGCTGTCATCACGGCGTTGAGGAGTAGATGACACCACACTGGGTGTGCACATATATTCCACTCGGCAGACATACTGTACTGCTAGGGTCTTTACATCATTATACCACCAAATCAGCGCTTACAGGTCGGCCTCCTTTGAAACATGTTTGGGCAAATGACCATGTGAGATGATAATCCGACGAAGGTTACCTATTTCGTTTTAGAAAGATCCCTTGGCCGAAGTCTGGCCCTGATGTCTGCTGAAGGTAGAGAGACTATGGCAGAAGTCCTTTGCGTTGGCACGATCCATCCTCTGGAGTCCACCGGCTCCATGTCCCAGAGTACCAAGATGGCCGCCACAAAAGCCATCACTTGTTGTTCAGCGAAAACGCGCCCAGGGCAGGCAAATTCGCCTGAACCCCAAGGTTGAAGGGTCCCTCGAACAAGAGTACGTTGCCCTTGCACGCTTTCGCTCGAGCTAAGGAATCTACCGGGCTGGAAAGAATTTGGAGACTCATAGTAATGGGGATCATGCTGGTGCGCGTCTGACAGGCTTGCCGCAGAGTCTCCGGCTTCCAATACAAATGATTGCGGTCGTTCACCATTAACTGATCGACTATCTTCAGGTGACTCGAGAATCGAAAGGTCTTTCTGCACGGTTCCCATCGATACCGGCTTGGAGTGGAGGCGTAAGCATTCATAGAGACATGCTTTAAGCAGAGGGCACGACTGCACCAAGCCGGCATCGTTGATCTCGAGACGGGCGGGTTCAGGAAGTCCGAAGACTTGGGAAGGCTGCGAGGCTTTTGCGAAAGGATGAACCTCATCACGCAGTTTTTGAATCAATTCCGGGTTTGAATACACTTGGACTAAAATCCAGACTTGATGATTCCGAAGTCAGCATTACGGGAGAAATTCTGAATCGCGAGACATGTCTTAGGAGCAGAGATTTTTGAGACATGTCTGACGACTCATAAGACAGCATGATCGGGGGAGAATTGCCTGGAAATTATAACTTACAGATCAGATTGGTTGTCTTGGTGCCCATCCTACATCCAAATTAGCTGCGAATGGTGCAGTCCCTAGCAATGACTTTACCCACGCCCAGAGAAGACTCAGATCGGAAGGATCTCTAACGTCTCGAGGTGTACCATATCTTCACCATTTCGGAGTCAGTGTAGCCATTTCAAGACTAGTTTTGAGTTACGAAGGCATGTCGGAGGAGCTTTAAAACAGAGTAATTGACCTTTTGCTCACGCAAGTTGTTTTGACACTCAGAAGTAAGGGAAAAAATCGCTCCGAAAGGGTGCTTACGCATTCCATATCGCGTGTCTTCCTTTCAACATCGCGCTCACATCGTCCAGATCTCTCCACGGCTGATTGGCTTCATTACCTGCTGCAAGCTGGTCCAGCGCCCCGTGCAATGAACTTATCGCGCCAAGCAATTTTCTGCGAGCGATGTGCGCCTTAGTCAAGGATGGAATCGGAAGCCAGCGTGGCAAGCCTAGGACAAAGTATTTGAAACCATCTCCAAGGTCTTGAATGTCCTCCAAGATCTCTGGATAATTTTCCAGAAATTCTCTCCCAACAAGCGATGGTAGTGCGACATTTGCTACGAAAGTCCTGATCAAGGCAAAGAGACTGATCTCGACGCTTGAAGCATCTCCGGTAATAATGTCAGTGTGAATGATGGGAGCGGCAGCCCGCTCCCATGGATTTTGGTCCACGATGCTGTCGCTGAACGAGACCAGGTTGGGCCCATGTTCCCGTATCCCGTGAACTGTGGCGCGCAACATTTCCGAGGGATTAGACAACAGTTGGTCCAGCAAGCAAGCGTGGGCATCGCCGTGGGCTCTTAAGTGCTCTTGTTTATGCCTTTTGTTTGCACCAAAGACGTTGACGAGCAAGAACCAGCGCACAGAGTCAGAGCTGATAGCGGTACTATGACCCTCAAAGAGAGATCGGGTTAGTGATGGGGTGAAGATCATGTGATACTTGGAGCCGAAGATTTTTAGTGAGAAGATTCCGGGAGGTGATCGTTGGCTGCAGCTGGATTAACAGTCATTTGATAGGAAAAGGTGTCCTCAAACGCACCAACATTTTTGTAGAAAACGGTCGAGATTGATGGTCAAAGGCAGCAAGTGACCGAAATAGGGGAACCAGTATGGAAGCGTGGCAACTTTGCGCCCGTCCCAACTGGTGCCATTAGGAGACAAGTCCGACTTGTAGTTCCTACCGCTGATGAATCGAGTAGAGCAGGCAATGGCTGCAAGTAGAAGGAAAACTTGGAGAGTAATTGTAGTAGGCGAGATGCTTTCTATAGTAGACACCAACTTGGCAAACATGGCGATGAAGGTAAAATATCCTGGGCGCCTAAGCCTGGGAAGAAACGGGCCAAATTAAATGGACTCTCTGGAGCATGAAGAGCCTCAGGATGGGATTTCACGTTTTACCAAATACTTTTCGACTGAAGCTCGGAGTGATTCAGGTAATGTATTCAGCAGATTAGATGCATAGCAATGGCATAGCTTCTCCCTTTTTCAAGGACTTAGATCAGGCCAGGTCACATGTGAAATCAATTAGATCAAGTAAATCTAGTACGAATAGACAAAGCAATGCGGCCACGACTAGTTGAAGAATATCAAGGCGAGGCGGCAACGTTGTTTGCTTGGCGATATCAGCTTCGGCAAGCCTTACTTGTAAGGTATCTTTTCTGTGCACACCACAGATATGCCCAGTACACAACCCAACATCATAATTACGGGTACGCCCGGAGTGGGCAAGACAAGCCACTGTGAAGTCCTGGCTGCCAACACTGGACTGAAGCACCTATCTATTAACCAAGTTGTCAGAGACCGTGGCTGCCATGATGGCTGGGATGAAGAATACAGAAGCTGGATCGTCGACGAGGACAAGGTTCGCCTAATATCGACTCCAGAGATGCCGCAGCTGACGAGCATGCCAGCTGCTCGACTCCTTAGAAGATGAACTTGCCCAGGGAGGCCACATAATCGACTGGCATGCCTGCGACCTTTTTCCCAAACGTTGGATTGACCTCGTTGTGGTGCTACGGACGGACTCTACGAAGCTGTACGATAGGCTGAAAGCAAGAAACTACCTGGAGCAGAAGCTGCAAGACAATCTGGACTCGGAGATTATGGAGGTGCTGTTGGATGAAGCTCGAGAATCATACGATGAGGAAATCGTGGTAGAGCTTCGGAGTGATGAGGCTGACGATATTGAGGTCAATGTGGGAAGGATTAAGACTTGGATCAAGAATTGGAGGCAAGATCAAGTTGAGGATGCAGCTTGAGCTCGATGCTGCACGATAGAGGCGTAACGGATCTATACGGACGTTACTACTGAGCCTGCAGCCATCGCTTGAGCTTTGACAAGGCGATGGCTCGATGAGACACCATGTTCTTCTTCGCTTTGTCCATCTCGGCATAAGTCTCGCCATCGTACTCGAAGATCGGGTCCCAGCCTGCACCAGTCAGTCTAAGCCACTCAGAAACGGACACGCCCCCCAAGGCTAAAGTACCAAAATTAGTCGGACCCCGAGCGGCTACTATCGTTCCCTTTGCACGGTTTAGTGGTGATTCGAGCTAGAGACAATTTGCAGCTCACAGTGACTCGTCCCTCGAAAATGATGGGCTCATGGCCAGGTCCCGAGCAGTAGGCAAAGGTGCAGACGGCTTGGGCGCTCTTGTCTTTGTATGCCATGAGGAGATTGTTTAAGCCTTCATGGCCAAGCGCTTGAAGGAACCATTTGCTATGAGAGAAGGCCTCACTTAACGTCCCTGGTTTATGTTGCAAGTGATGTAAAATACGTACATGTAGGGACCCGGCAGCTCTTTCAATGCATTAAAGCAGAGACATGTATCCTCTGTCAAAACCGGTCCTCCTATCTTCCAATCTTTAGCACAATGAAACGTTGAAACGTCGTTGAAACGTAGCCGTGGATAGTATCGAAAAGCCTACAATTGCAGCAGCCCTCTGGCATTTGTCCTTTGATATGTCTTGGATAGTGCCTTGGATTTCGGTCAAGTCTAGAGACTGGCTCTGTAGAGGCACAATGTCACCCAGGATAGCTTTGACCTCAACAAGCTTATTTGTGTTGCCGGTAATGAAATTGAGATGTCCAAGTGGCATTGTTGCCTAAGGCAGAGCTCAAAGCGCAGTCAAATAGAAGAGTTGATATGGTGCGCTGTGGCGAGCTGGCCAATTCCACATTAAGGATCTGTGCACTACTGCGTCGCTCTCTACGAGTAATTGGCACTCACGCACTATATTGGTGCTCGGGACTGGCCCACATCTTGGTCCGATTTTACAGAGTCAGGTATAGTACTTTATAACGTCAGGCATAATCTAAAAGATTTACTAGGGGTTTTTCCTTGGATCGATTTGAGAGGTCTGGACACGTCAAGCTCCAACTTTCTTATGTCCTTTTCCATACGTCTTGCTATGTCTTAAAAACCTCGCTATCGAACTGGACAATTAAGTATATACAGAGGTTAGGTTTGGCACGAATTCGGACTCGTGCCAAAGATCCCAAGCTCCCTTTCCTCCTTTCCTGGTCGAACCATGGCGGCATCAACTTCTAACAACCTTGTGAACATCAGATAAAGTTCTCGGCATTGAGTCGTGATATAATAGACTGGGATGTTGCCTCAGATGGCCCCGGAAGCCTTCTTCATCAGCACCCCTATATACTCCCTCGTCAATCGAGAGCCCCAGCCAACGTGCTAGATATGTCTTTGACCTGAAACCTTATCTTGTATATTTCGCCTTCATCTATACATGCGGCTATCTCTTGACTACCCCTGAGCGAGAAGATGCTCGGTCAGTCGCCTTGATGCGCACGGGATACATAACCCAATGATGATTCAGATATGTGCTAGCCCTCATCATCGGTCATTTTACCCTCCATCCAGAACAACTCCAACAGGCTGTCAATATCTCCGTCCATGCCTGGATGAAGGTATGACTGCCTCACACCCCCTTTGGTGACCGCAGAGTCGATCAGTACATACTGGATCTTTTCATCCTCTAGTATCATCTTTCGTCTTGTGGGCCCAAGTGAATGATCGGTACCACGATTGAAAGAATTTTCGACGGGCGGAACTTCGTCCCATGTTTCCTCCATTCTCTCCATATCCATCCCCTTCAATTCACCTTTAGGATAGAGCGCGAGCGAGTAGCCGTTGGTGAGGACCATTTCCGAACCAAATTGCCATCGCTGGAGGAAACAGTCCCCGCAGACGTCAGCTACAAGATGCATCATTGGCAGGTTGTACCCGTTCAAACTTGCGCCCCCTGCTTTCCAATGATGAAGAGATAAAGGCATATGACCACTTTCCAAGACCCCTGATAGGTCCGCGTGAACGTCAACCTGGTGCAAACCTCGTTCATATGTTAATTTCGTCTCCGTCAGAAGGTATATACATTCCATGATACGAACGTCTCCGGCAGTCGTTTGTGAAGCCTCTATACAGTTCCGGTAATTATTGTTCATGATCTCGGCTAGCGGGACCGAAAGGAATATACCAGCCCCACCAAATCCCATCATACCGTAATGTGCTACAGCCCACCAAATCTCGGATAACGCACCGATATAATACTCCTGCGTAGGGTCATACTTAGCGAGCATGGTCACAAGTGCAGGTATGGAAGGAAAGAAGGTGTCGTCGTCCAGAAGACTAATCCATTTCGTTTTGTTGTTGCGATTGTTGTACATAACTTCGATGACTGAGAAGTACTTTATAGAGAAGGAGTCCTGGAGCTCAAGAGGTTCGACGAGGGTGACATCCATGCCAAGACTGCGCATCCGTGCCTGTAGTTCGGCCTTTTGCTGGGGATCGGCGGCCACAGCGTCGACCCTCTCCACACCCTCCGACTCTACGATCTGTTCTGACTCAATGACTATGACGAACAGCTTCGCATTGGTGTGGGGGAGCCAACGCAGAAGGGACGTGACGGAAGCATCTAGGCGCTTGAGGGTGGTGGAGATGCCGAAGATGATATGAGAGGCATCGCCAGAATCTTTGACCAAGGCTGGCACATGCAGAAGGTAAGGCTTCTCGCAATGCTGCAATGATACCTGGACGTCTCCGGAGAGGTCGATGGTCTGAAACTTAGGGAATAAGGACGCATCGAGCTTGGTGATTGAAGCGCGCTCGAGGCCCGGGGTGGGATTGACGACGATGTCACGGTGGGCATATCGTATGGGATAGGTGAGGTTTAGATCGGCCAGCCAATCGAGCTTGTCCGGGCATGCATCAATTGGGCGAACATGGGGAGCGGGCAGCCAATCGGGGGCGGACGAGCCTCTTCGAGAGGAAAGTCGAGCGATGAAGGTGACCGATGCGAGGGAGATGAGACAGAGGACCAGAGTAACACCTTTGTTGCGCGAAGGCATTGTGTATACGTGTACAGACAGCCTTATAAGGCGAGAGTGGCAGTGTGGAAGGGATACCTGGCATCGATGGATAGGTAACATATGTCCATGACCTTGGCAGGTATCATCGAAGTCGTTTAGCGATCAATCTCCACCAAATACGGAAGAAGAGGAACAAGAAGAGAAAGATAGAAGAACGAAGGTAAGAAAGAAAGAAAGAATGAAAGAAAGAAAGAAAGAAAAGAAGTCAATAAGAGGCGGCTGGAAAGAGTCCTGGACGATTAAAATAGTACTGTACTTTAGAGCTGGTGAAATGGGAGGAGGTGCGGAACTGCGGAGGAGGATTATCTCTGTCTGACTGTCTGGGGAGGTGGGAGGGCGGCAAAACCACATGTTTTGAAAATAACCTTAGCGAGTACTCGTATTCACTAGGATTTGCAATCTACTAGGATTTGCAATCTTTAAAATCTAATTCTTATAATTTATTATTTCACAACAATATAATTTAAAACTAGAAAAAAAAGTTAAAAGAATATAAAATATAATTATTATAATTTTAATTTTTTATATAATTAAGTTTAGATTAATAAAGTTCTATAGTAGTATATTAAGATATAGTTATCGAAGTTTATTACGCTATTTTTTAACGTAATTATTATTACCTCGATTTTAAAAATTCTTAAAAATATTAAAATCGCATTTTATATTCTTTTAGAATTTTTTTTCGATTTTTTTATTATAATGTTATGAAATAATAAATTATAAAAATTAAGTTTTAGAGATTATTAGTATATATAATAGAATAAGATAGAACTAAACTTGAAAATCTTAAATTTATATATGCAGCCAATTATTAATCTAGATTCTATACGCTTTTTAATTAAATCGACTAAATTAGTTTAATAGCCCTCTCGCGCTTTCCTTATTAAAAATTTATATATAAAAATTTTACACTTTAAAGTACTCAGCTTGCGATATATATAGTTACTTCATAATTCCTCAAATTATAAAGCTCGCTTTACGCTTTCTAACGCTATAAAAATTATAAAGTTTAATCTACTATTAATAAATTAAATAAATATTTAAATATAGTAATTATAATAGTTATACTAGACGCGTTCGAGATTAAATAATAATTCTTCTATCTATTTATTATTCTTTTATTATTCTATTAATTCTATTAATTCTATTAATTTTACTAATATAAATATAACTATCTTCGATACTTCTCGTCTAATTAGAGCTTCTTATTAACGCTCTTAGATTATCTCTTAACGAATCTATTACTACTAATAATCGAGGTCGTAAATAAGTCTAATAGCTATCTATTACTACTTATAAACGCGTTAAAAAACTCTTAAAAAGAGTCTAAACGAATATATCTTTCTTTATATACTTCTTTTAAGTTAGCGATAGATAAGTTAAATTAATATTTAAATATTATAAGTTATATTAAACGCGTTCGAACGTTATATACTCTTTATAATTCTATATTAAATTATTACTTAGTAAGCGAAGAATATTATTATAACTTAATCTATTATTCTTACTATATTAAAAAGTAAGAGAAGAAACTATAATAGATAAATACGAAGAATACTATGGAGAAATTAAGCGATAATAAGACTATTATCGTTAAGAATACGACTTAGCTCTCTAAGATCCCACGTTATATACTCTCTATAATTTTATATTAAATTATTATTTAGTAAGCGAAGAATACTACTATAACTTAGTTATTCTATATTAAATTATTACTTAGTAAGCGAAGAATATTACTATAACTTAATCTATTATTTTTACTATATTAAGAAAAAAGAGAAGAAATTATAATAAGTAAATACGAAGAATACTACGAAGAAATTAAGTAATAATAAGATTACTATCGTTAAGAATACGACTTAGCTCTTTAAGATCCCACGTTATATACTCTCTACGATTTTATATTAAATTATTACTTAGTAAGCGAAGAATATTATTATAACTTAGTTTATTATCTCTATTATATTAATATAATATATTACTATAATAATATTATAAGAGAAGAATCTATTATTATAGTTAATTAGATCTCTATAGAAGAAATATTAAATAATATATATTTAAACGAATTAAAATCGTTCGATATCTATAGTTATTTTATTATTCGAAAGATTTTACTACGATAGAAGATATTATGAGATTTATATTACTAATTAACACGTTATCTTTATTTCTTTTTAATATTTCGATACTTCTTATTATAAGAACGTGGTCTTTCTCTATTTTTTATAGATAATTATTACGAATTAATTCTTTATATTTAACAAGTAAAGACCTATAAATTAAATTTATAAAGTTGAATTTTTCTAAGTTAAATCGAATTTTAGTCTTAGCTCTAAGTTAAATCGAACTCTAATCGCTTACTATACGTTTTTAATCTATATATAAATATATATATATAAAGAGAGGCGCGTTAAGGTCTAATTAGAAAGGTATATTAAGTATAAAGAATTAATTCGTAATAATTACCTATAAATAATAGAGAAAGACCACGTTCTTATAATAAGAAGTATCGAAATATCGAAAAGAAATAAAGATAATATGCTAATTAGTGGTGTGAATTTTATAATATCTCTTACTATAGTAAAATCTTTCGAATAATAAAATAGCTATAAACATCGAACGGTTTTAATTCGTTTAAATATATATTATTCGATATTTCTTTTATAGAGACTTAATTAATTATAATAGTAGATTCTTCTCTTATAACGTTATTATAGTAATATACTATATTAATATAATAAGAATAATAAATTAAGTTATAATAGTATTCTTTACTTACTAAATAATAATTTAATATAGAATTCATAGAGAGTATATAACGTAAAATCTTAAAGAGCTAAGTCGTATTCTTAATAATAGTAATTTTATTACCACTTAGTTTCTTCGTAATATTCTTTATATTTATCTATTATAATTTCTTTTTTTACTTCTTAATATAGTAAGAATAATAGATTAAGTTATAGTAGTATTCTTTACTTACTAAATAATAATTTAATATAAAATAATTAAGTTATAATAATATTCTTTACTTACTAAGTAATAATTTAATATAAAATTATAAAGAGTATATAACGTGAGATCTTAGAGAGCTAAGTCGTATTCTTAATAATAATAACTTTATTACCGCTTAATTTCTTCGTAGTATTCTCCGTAATATTCTCCGTAGTATTCTTCGTATTTATTTATTATAGTTCTTTCTTTTATAATTTTTCTTCTATAAAGATCTAATTAACTATAATTATTATAGTAGATTCTTCTCTTATAACGTTATTATAGTAATATATTATATTAATATAATAAGAATAATAAATTAAATTATAGTAATATTCTTCGCTTATTAAATAATAATTTAATATAAAATTATAAAGAGTATATAACGTGAGATCTTAAAGAGCTAAGTCGTATTCTTAATAATAATAGTTTTATTACCGCTTAATTTCTTCGTAATATTCTTTATAGTATTCTTCGTAGTATTCTTTATATTTATCTATTATAATTTCTTCTTTTACTTCTTAATATAGTAAGAATAATAGACTAAGTTATAGTAATATTCTTCGCTTATTAAATAATAATTTAATATAAAATCGTAGAGAGTATATAACGTGGAATCTTAAAGAGTTAAGTCGTATTCTTAATATTAAAAATCTTATTATTATTTAATTTCTTCGTAATATTCTCTATATTCGTCTATTATAAATTCTTCTCTTACTTCTTTTTTTATAAAGTATTAAATTAAGTAATTAGCTAAGTAACTAACTAAGTAAATAACTAATATAATATAGAATCTTAAAGAATTAAGCTATATTCTTAATAATAATAATCTTATTATCGCTTAATTTCTTTATAATATTCTTTATAATATTCTTTATAATATTCTTCGTATTTATCTATTATAGTTTCTTCTTTTACTTCTTAATATAGTAGAGATAATAGATTAAATTATAGTAATATTCTTCGCTTATTAAGTAATAATTTAATATAAAATTATAGAGAGTATATAATGTAAGATCTTAAAGAGCTAAGGCGTATTTTTAATAATAATAATTTTATTACCACTTAGTTTCTCCGTAGTATTCTTTATATTTATCTATTATAGTTTCTTCTCTTACTTCTTAATATAGTAGAAATAATAGATTAAGTTATAGTAATATTCTTCGCTTATTAAATAATAATTTAATATAAAATCGTAAAGAGTATATAACGTGGGATCTCGAAGAGCTAAGTCGTATTCTTAATAATAATAATCTTATTACCGCTTAATTTCTTTATAATATTCTCCATAGTATTCTCCGTAGTATTCTTCGCATTTATCTATTATAATTTCTTCTTTTATTTCTTCTTTTATAGAGTATTAAATTAAGTAATTAGCTAAGTAATTAATTAAGTAGATTATTAAGCTAATAGAGTAGATAATATTAATTAAACGACTAGTTAAGTAGTATATAGAAGAGAATAATAACTATAAATCTATTTAAGCTCTTTTTAAGAGCTTTCTAACGCGTTTATAAGTAGTAATAAATAGCTATTAAGCTCGCTTACGGCCTCAATTATTAATAATAATAAATTCGCGTTAATAGAGACTCTAAGAGGCGGATAAAAGAGATATATATATCTAAAGCGTTTAGTAATATTTTCGCGAGGGATATCGAGAACGATTATATTTATATTAATAGAATTAATAGAATTAATAAAGTAGTAAAAGAATAATAATTATATAAATAAATAAATAGATAAAAGAATTATTATTCGATTTTAAATACGTCTAATATAGCTACTATAACTATTATATTTAAATATTTATTTTATTTATTAATAGTAGATTAAACTTTATTATTTTTATAGCGTTAGAAAGCGTAAACTAAACTCTATAATTTACGAAATTATAAAGAAATAATATTCGTAGAAAGCTAGTTATTTTAGAGTATAAAACTTCTATATATAAATTTTTAATAAGAGAGCTTAAAAGGGCTAGCGAG